AGGGAGTTCCTCTATTTGAAACCGATGGCACGAGCAAGTCTTAGCGTCTATATCAACTACAAACGATTTACCATCAGCTACCACTTTGTACACACTGTCACTAGCTTTTTGAACCTGTACAAAAAATATAAAAGTCATAATAAACTTAATTAAGTACAAAAGATAGTATATATTTGGTATATATTCAGTATATAATCCATGTGATATTCAAGTACACTTACAGAGAATCTCGTTGATGCTTTGTAATTATTGTCCAAAGTTGTATATATACAGTATATTTTGTCTGTATATAATTCATTTTGTATTAAAAGTGCACTTACAGAGAATCTCGCTGATGCTTTGTAATTATTCTCCAACATATTATGAGGCTTATTTGCAAGTGTAGTAAAAGTGGACTTTGCTTCATCTCTATTCACCGCATTCCACCGTTGTTGCATGTCTCTTAGTGCTTCTAATAGTGTAGTTATTGGGAGCTCACGTAGAGATCTTATGGCAGAATTTATTGTTTCAGCTGCGTTAGATGTCATGGTGAAGTACCTGTTATTTGGACTGTGAACCCTTGCCCACTTGTGTATACCAATTGTTTCTAGATGTGTTACCACAGACAGGTTCAACTTTTTCAATTGTGACCAATACTTATCAAATTCCTCTAATATATAAGCTCTTGCCGCTGCAATGAAAGCATCCTTAACTGATTCAGCTTCGGTCTTAAAATGCATCTTGAGGTTGTTTGGTATGTGGTACGTACATAGACAAAGCGCAGCTGTAGAAAAAACCTAAACAAAAAAAATATTGGGACTTACTAATATTCATGTTGTAATAAATTACAGCAGTTACTCAAATATATACGTAACATATACAAAACATATACTAAAAATATAAACTTACCCTAGCTACAACGTGTTTTATGGCTTCATGACCGTCTGACACGATGCACAACTCATCTCTCTCACCAATAACTGCTTTCAATTTCGTAAAGAACCAAGTGTATGCATGATTATTTCCGAGTCAACAATGCTAAACGCAAGCGGTAAGATGTGAATTTTCATCCTAGCAACAAGCTGTCAATGAAATACCTCCGTACGTTGAGGTTAAAAAAGTCCCATCAACAACAATAATTGGTCGACAGTGAACCCAACCTTTTTTTGTTGCGTTTAGAGACATGAATACGTACATAAAATTCCCTTCAGTTGTTGTGCACAAAGTCAAAATACTCCTTGGATTTGATACACGAACTTTATCAAGATAATGGTGTACGCAGTCGTATGATTCATCGGGCTTGCCACGTACCTCATCAATCGCCTTGCGCTTTGATCTCCATGCGTTGTGATAAGACATGTTTATCCCGTAGTGATTTTGCATGTCGTGGATGATATCACCCGGATTATACGAAGTTTTATTATTTGCGAACTTATCCTTAATAAAACTACTAACAACGTTAGAAGTCGTCTGCCTCTGTCCACCCATACGAACATCTAATCCGCATCTATGTTCAGTCCCAACGGCTCTGACCTTAAACGTGCTTAATTGACCGATACGGGATGCTCTCACAAACCACGTGCACGCACTAGACACACATTTCACGTAATATTGTTTCGTGCATTATTTCTCAACTCTGAACTGGTATTGGTTCTTTATAGCATGAATTGTCAACATTTTCTGCAACATCAGTTTATCTTTGAATAAGAGCCCAACAACAATATCCGACTCACTACTTGGCTCGATAGGTAAGCTCTGTCCGCTGTCTGGGTATATAGACTGTATATTTTCCGTATATATCATCGCCTCTACCATATCTGCTGCTACTCCATGAGCGAAAGACATGAAGTTGAGTGATTCATCTCTTGTCTTCGTATATTTGTCGAGATCCTTATGTACCAAAGGTGTTACATTTGTTTCATCACTTACATCATTCACCCTTTGCGCACCCTCAAACGTGGCTTGTCCATTAAATGGAGAATTCACGTCCACGCAAACCGGGAACTTCGTGTAATCTGACTCACCCATTTTCAAGTCAACGTAAAATGCAAGACTCATGTTATCATCTATGCAAATGAGGGGATATCCGTCCTTCAGTTTGTATTTCAACTCAAGAACAGAAGTTTGACACGTGATTCCAAGCTTCTCCTTCAGTACATCACATAGTTCGTCGAATTTGCAATTTCTACGAACTAGTATACCTGAAACTTGAAAGTTTATGTACTCATTCATGACCCATTCACCATTGTAATGTACGAAGATCTTCAATTGCGTATCCATCTACGAAAACACAGAATAATCAGAAAATATACGTTTTTGTATACGGCCGACATGATTTCATTTCAAATATAAACAAAAAATATATCGACAATATCAAATAAATCAATCGAGATGATAAAAAAAATACCTGCTTCATGAAAATTAATGTTCAGGATTATGAGTTATACGCTGCTTCGTGAACAAATATATCCATCGATTTATTTATTTGAGTTATATGTTGCTGAAGGCGCTAGAAATTCAAAAGGTGTATCTTTCTTAATTCCACTCAACCACCTTCCTTATTTTGAGGAATTAATTACTTTCAATGTTGGTTATTATCTCTATTATTTAACGTGAAAAACGGTCCTCAACTCAATGATAAGTTACACCTTTTCAGATATGGTAACTGAATCTAGGTATATATGCAATTATTTTAACCAGTTTTTATAATAGTGCAATACAATAACACCACATGGGATTTTTACAAATCTTTTATTTTCGTTAAGTATATATAAAACTAGTACAACACCCGTGTGTTACACGGGTGCTTGCTAATTTTTTTCTTAAAATCTAAAATTAATGAGTAAAAGTAGTTGGAATTTTAAATACCTTTTACAAAAATATATATAAATATTATTATATATTTAGTATGCCACTTTTTATTTGTGTGACTTATCTGTGTCATAATATAACGATAAAAAATACAAAAGTTATCAACTTTTAAAATACATTTATAATTTAATAGCTAATTGAAGGAAACAAATCAAAGTCAGAGATATATTAGTCACTTAGTGCCTCACTTTATAAAATTACAAATAATTAAAGGGTTATATTAGTACAAGGGATATTAAAATACCTAAGTTAGATAAATAATATTTATAGAATGTCCGAACCTAGATTATTAATTATTAATATATCAATATTATTTGTCCAAACCTAATTACGAAGCATGATTCTGCGCCAAGTAGGATTACGAAGCACCAGAATCAGCCACGTAGGCTCAGCGCATTCAGGAATTATATATAGGGAGTTTTTTTTTTAAATCTAAAATTAATGAGAAAAAGTAGTTGGAATTTTAAATACCTTTTACAAATATATATATATATATTATATTTAGTATGACACTTTTTATTTGTGCGACTTATCTGTGTCATATTATAATAATTTTTTAACTTACAACATATTACTACATTAAAAATAAATATATCAATTGATAAATAATTTTATTTTTCTATTGAATTTTAATAAATATTATTATTCTTTATTATTATAAAGATAAACATAATTTATTTATTTTATATATATAATATGGATGTCAAATCTAAGATCATCAAAAGATGATTAATTTGATATATAATATATGTAAAACCGATAAAAAATACAAAAGTTATCAACTTTTAAAATACATTTATAATTTAATAGTTAATTGAAGGAAACAAATCAAAGTCAGAGATATATTAGTCACTTAGTGCCTCACTTTATAAAATTACAAATAATTAAATGTTATATTAGTACAAGTGATATCAAAATACCTAAGTTAGATAAATATTATTTATGGAATGTCCGAACCTATATTATTAATTATTAATATATCAATATTATTTGTCCAAACCTAATTACGAAGCATGATTCTGCGCCAAGTAGGATTACGAAGCACCAGAATCAGCCACGTAGGCTCAGCGCATTCAGGAATTATATATAGGGAGGATTGGGCTATTAATCTTTATCTAAAAATCGAGATATGACCTTTTAACCACGACATTACATTGGTCCGACTTATGAGCTACAGTACAAAAGTTGTTCACCAGGCCCATTAGATACATACTTCACATGTTAACTGTTATTTTTTAGCCCAAATTACTTATAGCTTCCAAGCCCAAATCCGACACAAACAGATAGCGTGAACGGGTCGGCTCAAAATCAAATTCACTACCGCAGCCCAATACACCAACTCCGCGTCGCCGCTCACTGTGAGACTTAAGCTTTCGACTCCGCCGCCGTGCTCCGTGCTCTCTCCGACCACGAGTCAGTCACTCGAGGTAAAGTTAGCTTAGTCCAGATAAATATCTAAAACCCTATTCGATTCGAGGCTTGATTTTGCAACTGATTGTGATTTGTGCGTTTGCTTGGCTGTGTCCTTGTTTCTTTCGTTATCTGTTCATATTATAGCTCAGTTGGTAAAGCAATGGTTTTTTTTTTCATGAATTGTTTTATCTTGATCCGATTTAAAGGGCTCCCATGTGAAAATACTGTCTGTAATTATCTGATTTTTCACAGAATCATGAAACGCTTGAATGTGCTTTCATCTGTGGCTAATGGAACTATAAGTCCCTTGCTATAAGTCCCTTGTTAAACATTCTATTAAGTGGGAGGGGATGAAATTCGGTTTTGATTTGTCTATGCGCTGTTTAGTTGTGAAGATTGATTCGATTTTGCGTGTAGGACATAGAAAATACAGCAATAAAAAATGGCTGCTACTGGTGGAATGAATGATTTGTCATCAGAAATGGAGGTGGATGCTTTTAGACGTCTTTTTCCTTTACGGTTTCACGAGCGTCACCTTGTTGAATCGATTAGGCCCGACGGTCGGCCCCTTGATAGAGCTCGAGACACGACACTCGTGCTCGGTTAGTCAATTTTGTCAGTCATATTCTTTTTTATCATGCTTCCTTTGCAAAAAATTCGTGCCCTTGCTCAAAATGTTATGTTAAAAAATCTAGGAGCCGTGGCGTCTGCTAATGGGTCAGCACTGGCGAAGACAGGTTGCACCGTAAGCGTGTATTTTTGTTATTTCTATCGTCACTGCTATTCATTTATTTATTGCCTGCAATTTTCTCGAGCTTTTTGTTGTCTGTGTGAAGTAAATGAATGTTTTCCTGCTCAGACCATGTTAGCTGCCATTAAAATGGAAGTCATGACTCCGACTGTGGAGGCACCCGATGAAGGTTGCATAGGTTAGTTGTTGGCTCTTATATCTTTTTTGCATTTTCCATTTTTTTTTTCTTTTTTTTTTTT